TCTCTCTCTCTCTCTCTCTCTCTCTCTCTCTCTCTCTCTCTCTCTCTCTCACTCTCACTAGGACCATTTGAAATTTAAATATTCAGTTTGAGTCTGAATTATGAGACTTATGATTATATAATCACGGAACAAATCTTGCATCTGAACAAACCAAATTTAGCAAGTTCTTTAATGCATGGAAACCATTTCTGTAAACTTTTATAATGTTTATTTTTTATGAAGCGTCGATAGTTCATAAGTTTAATTTCATTGATTTACCAGTATTGGTCCAGTAGAGATGGAGATGTTCGTTGTAAAGGTATACCAATAATGAGGGACAATCAATATACGTTAATCTTGTCCTCGAAGAATTAACAGTCGTATTTCAAGGAACTTGTGAAATCGAAAAAAAATCCACTTCAATAGCAATATTAATCAAATAGCGTACAAATTCACGAACAATTCATAGCGTCCATTCCGGCCCGTGATCAGAATAGTGGAGACACCACAATGAAGTTAGTTGATAAAATAAATTAATGAGCATCAGCATTCCATTGTAACATATCATCATTTCAATTAATTAATAGTCGAACATATTTCGTTGTATAAAGTGATGTGTTGAACATTTTTCTACAAATAAAGAATTACAGTATATAAGAAAAATAAGGTTCCAGGTCTTAGTTGAATATAAAAATACTTAACAGTGTGTCAATATATAAACATATTTGCGCCTTGCATGAACTAGATGCACGAGGATTTAACGTTAACCCATTAAGTGATAGCGCGCTTCGCCTGACGAGTAAAATCGTCTGCCATTAGACAGGTAAGTGGGCCGTATTGTCTCTTATAGTGAATATAAACCTTTTACTCATTATACATAATCATAGGAAGACTAAGTATAAATCGTAACTACTTTGGGACATACCTTAACATAATTGGTGATAATTTCCCGAACTGTCTTATTTCAAACTTTCAGTCCTAAAAGAAAACATTTTGAGTGATGTATTTGAGCTTACAGAGCATTTGAGCTGTAGTGTACTATACTAAGTATAGTCAATGTACATGTTGCATCTAGGTTCAATTTAAACATGATTGAACATACCTTGTTTGCATAGAACTGCAGGAGTCTCCTCACGTCAGTCTCTTTGGTGATCTACCAGAATCCCCAATTCCAGTCTCTCCTAGACTGGATTTTCATTTCAGCGATTTTTTAATATTCGATTAGTGTTTCTGCTGCAATTAAATAGTGCGAGTTTAATGGGTTATATACCGAACCGGTATTGAAACTACTGGCGTAATACATGTCAAAATTTTTAATGAAACAACTTGTCAAAATCTTACAGTTACTTTAACAGCCTCATGATCTGAATAATATACACTTACAACGTTTGCTTCTATTTTATTGCTTATTGACTGTTTTACGTAAACATGATCGAGAAGACTTCCGGGTGAAACAAATGTTGGTTTACTTACAAGTTGCACATAATTTAAAGACTCGGCGAGTACTTTCAATGAAGAAAGGTTCTTAAAGTATAATCAATATTAAAATCTCCAAATATAACGTCAATATCCAAACTAGTTATTATGTAATCTAAGCAAGCTATGAATTGCTGAATTTCACATCCGTGCTTACGATAACGCAGTAGACAGGATAAGGTGTTGCCACCGGAGTTATTAAGTAAAAATCGTAAACCATTTATTGAAGTGAAATATTCTGTATCACACAGTGTAACAGTGTCTTTCTAGCAAACAGCTAGACTTAAGAACTTGTCAGAATTATGATCTTGTCTGTGTATAGAAAAATCGTTAAGGATTGAGTTAATATCATCATTTGATACACTGGTTAAAGGTTGAGTTTCTGTAAGGGCAAACACATCACATTTGGACAAGATTGGATCATTATTTAGGTCAAGACTGTGTTTTTAAATGATCTAATATTTAAAAGACAAATTGAGACAGTTTCTATGTTACATAAATCTGTTGTAATATCCGGGTGGAGACTCGAAGTTTCACGCAATCTCTCGTATTCTTCCTGGACTTTAGGATTTGCTCGAATATGTTTACTTTCAAGTGTTGCTAAAATATGCAGGCCATTTAGGGACGCTGCTCGACTAAGTGCTACATATACCTGACCATAGTTAAAATACCTTTGCTTTTTTAAATCAAAACTGACGACAATGTTATCTAGAGTTAATCCTTGTACTTTATGAACAGTGTATGCCCATGCGAGAGTTACAGGAAATTGTAATCTTTGCATTTCAGGAGATGATGGTTTTCCTGGTCTGACTTTAATTCTCGCCAATACAGGTTTAATAGGAACAAGATTGTTTTCTCTTGCAAAACTACTGGACGAATTTCGTATAGCAGATACTCCAGCATTACTGTCATCAAATTTAACAAAAATTATGGAGGGTTTATTACTAACATTGTCAACAGAAACTTTTATTACTGTACCTAACTGGCCATTAATAAGTCGATCGCTAATGTCCACATTGGTTGTGAGCATAACTCTCGCATTTTCTTTGATCAGGATTTTAGTGTCAAGCCCTCCAGTTTCGGATCTTCCTTTAGACAACACTCTATCGATATCCTGTTTTCTAACATGACGTGTGAATTGATCTAAAGCTTCTAAAACGTACTGTGGTGATTGAATTCGTTGTAGGCGATCAATATTGTACTCATCTACTGGTGCATTTTCTGCAAAGATGTGTAATGCATCCGATGGATAATTTTCATCACCTGGAGTTATTGTTCTGGATTGAATACACCTGATATCATCGTCTGTATGTGAAGCGGTGCGCACTCTATTTAATAGTTGAGTGAAGGCGAGGTCATCTTTTTGTGTCATGATCTGTGTAGTTCTGCCATTTTAAAGACATGCCAGGGATGGTGTAGATTGAATGTATCATTCTTATAATTTGAAAATGTTGTTGCCCTTCGAATTGGTGGTAGCTGAAAGAAATCTCCGAAAACAAGTACACTGATTCCTGCAAAAGGTTCACTATTAGGTGTAACAAATATTTCATTCAACCTCTGGTGAATATGCAGCAGACCCATTTTTGAGACCATTGATATTTCATCAATTATGATTAGTTTCAATTCAACCAAAGACAATTTCATTTGTGTTCTTCTCTGATCAGACATTGCAGGTACATTATTCTCACACTCTCTTGGAATTGCTAGAGCAGTGTTTACGGTTGTTCCGTTGATATTTATGGCAGCTACACCTGTTGGAGCCATTAGTAATACAGAACGTAATTCAGGATTCATTGGAGCATGTCTAAATGTTTTTGTAACAGTATGATATATAGCTTTAATTAAGTGTGATTTCCCTGCACCTCCACCTCCAGTAACAAAAACATATATAGGATCTACTTGAGAAGGTTGAAGAATGTTTAGATTTTACATTTTGTTTCTACACCAGGAGAGAACTACGTCATATGCATAACGTTGTTTGTTGTTCAATGATCTTACAGTTTTTCGCAGATCGTCGTCACTGATTTCTAAGGGTTGATTATAACAACTTATTCCAGAAGATGGTTGAACTGATTCAGGATTTGATGCAAGATGTTGTGGCAACGATTCGTTAAAAGACTCGGTTTCATCAAAATCGTCAGGTAAAGTTTGCCGCAAATCTTCATTTTCCTGGTCATTTATTGGATCATAGGAGTGAGTAGGTACCCCATCAAAGTTTCCTAAACTTTCTAGTGCTTCATTAATTGCATCAGCATCTGGCTCAAATATTTCTTTGTTGCGTTGTACTACCTCTTGAACATCTGGCTCATAAAACTTAGGTATGTATGTCTGGTCTTCGCCAAAGAGTTCCTGCTCATTACGCCACGGAAAATACAACATGAGAAGGTGGTGAAAATATTTTTCAGACTCTTTTCTTTTGTTTGGAGTGTGATTTCGAATAACAGCTTTAATTTTTCTGCACTTCATTATTTCTTTGCTGTTTACAAGTTTTATTCGATCGGGAAGTCCAGTTTTATGATTTTCCATATTTTGAGATTCAATGACGTCATCGCTTAAGAGAGCTTGCCTGTAAGAATCGCAGAATGTGTGGCAGATATGAAAAACTGAAAGTTCTTCAATTTCCCTCGTTTTAATATATATTGTAGACCTATCCAATCCCACACATTTACTGAAGATTCAGCCATCAAACAAAAAATGAAGGAAAGTTAGAGCACTTCAAAAATCGAACCAAAAATGACGCGAAATGTCCAAGAAATTACGCTATATAAAGCAGTCAACATCATGTGCTGTGCTGTGCTGAGCGCACATTATAAGTTTTTGCTCTGCTGTTACAATATATGTCTTTAGAATATACGGAACTTTCTCGTGACATCTTTTCTCCATAAATCGAAACTTATTGACTTGGTTATTTTAGATCAAAGATGGTTGAAATTTCCGGGTTTTCCAAACTAGCCAAAGTACGTCTTGTGAATCGCCTATTTAAATATGGTCCTACTTTCTTTATAAATGTAGATATGCATAATTTGTTAGGGATAGGATTTAGTCATTCGACGACGATTTCAGATGTTTGGGATTATTTTGTGTCTTGGCGAAATTTGATCTTAAACATGTACAATATTAGCGTAATGGGCAATTCCAGCTATAGACTAAATTTTGATTTTGGGCAAGAAAAACAAAATCCATCAGCACAGCTAGAAAGAACATGATAAAATTAGTAAAATTACAAAGTTTGGTTGCAAAATGTTGGAAAATGAGGAAAATAGTGCCCTGCGAAATTTGCAAATTTTGTATTAATTTGTCCGCAATAGACCATTTGCGAAACAGACTAAATTTTGATCTAAACAAGTTTAGACAAAAATTTCCTCCCAGCTTGGAAGCGCATCACAAAATTAGTGATATTCCAAAGTTTCGTTGCGTAATGTTGTAAAATGCGGAAAATATAGCTTTGCGAAATTTGCAATTTTCAGTCATTTTAGATTACAAACGCGGGAAATTGACAGCCTCGAATGGTTTGGGGCTGTCAATTTCCCGTTTGTAATCTAAAATGACTGTAAATTGCAAATTTCGCAAGGCTATATTTTCCGCATTTTACAACATTTCGCAACGAAACTTTGGAATATTACTAATTTTGTGATGCTCTTTCAAGCTGTGATGAAATTTTTGTTGACATCAAAATTTAGCCTATTGCGCAAGTGGTCAATTGCACCACGTTCGGCCCAAATGTGGTATACAAAATTTGCAAATTTCGTATTGCTATTAGTTTTCCTCATTTTGCAACATTTCGCGGCCAAACTTTGCAATTTTACTAATTTTAACATGCTCTTTCTAGATGGATTTTGTTCTTCTTGCCTAGATCAAAATTTAGTCTATATGATCTATAGCTGGAATTGCCCATTGAGTGGTTCGTATTAACTGGAGCGTGACACTGTGAATATTATTTCTTAAATTTTTTTCAAAACGATTCTGTGTTTACTGTAGTCGTCACTGAGAACACACGCTTCACTCTTAAATATCGGTCATGCGTTTTAAAATTAACTCAAATTTACACTATGAAAAACACAATCATGCAGATATGCAAATACTATACAAATATAAATAAAAACGTTGTCGTTGAATGGAAAATCAGCTGAAAAAGGTTAGAATGCAGGATGGTAAGCGTGATCGCTTCTAGAGTGCCTGCGACAAATTATGTCGTGGTCTAACACGTAAAGAAAAAAACAGTTCCAAGATTGTTTACAAGATAAAATAATATTATTATTAATCAAATATTATTTGATTTGTAACCTACGCTGTTATAGACCCGGAAGTAACTTTCTCAACACAGTTGTAAATAAACGCACGCAGCGAGACTAATTGTCCACTGTAGTTTAATATTGCAACTGAAACTGTCTGATTATGTTACATTGGTTTGTTATAGTTCTTGAAGCATAAAGGTAAGTCCATTGTATTTTTCGTATTTCCTTAGC